TCAGGACTAAGCTGGCTGCTCAGAGCAGCTGGTGGTTCTACTCTGGGAGTCCTGGCTGAACGGGCTTCCTGGGGTATGGGGAGAGCAGGCTGGGGAGGCTGGGAGAGGGCAGAGCTCTCCACTCTGACTGACCATCCCTTTCCCACCCTCTCACAGTGCCCAGTGCTGTGTCTTCCCTGACCGATGACCTTCTCAAGTACTACCAGCAAGTGACTCGGGCTGTGCTGGGGGATGACCCACAGCTGATGAAGGTGAGCCAGGGGCTCAAATTGGGGCCCAAAGTTAAACTTTTAGACTCCAGTGAAATCTTTCAGGTGTCTCCTTCCTGTGACTAACTGAGGTGGGGGGCAGCTGCTCTGAGGCCTAGTGCCCTGAGGCTGGCCCTCCTCCAGTCCTGACTCTCCTTCCTGCTCCAGTAAGGAAGCCTGTTTCTCGGGGGATGGGAAGCTCAGCACGGCCCTTTCTGGCGCTCGAGTGCTCAGTCTCCCCACATGTTAATTCTGGAACCTACTCTTTGGGGTGCCTTGTGGCCTGGGACCAAGTGGGGCAGCCACGGTACAGCCTTTAGTAGCCTGGACCGGAGAGAAGAGGAAGCGGAGGGGCCAGATTAGGGTGCCAGGATTGAGAGACTGGCCCTTGCCTCCGCAGTCTCCAGGGCAGACAGCCTTCGGATGGGGCCTGTGGGGCTGCACAGGGCCCACTGGATGGCACCAGGTCAGGCCTCCGTCAGGGGAGTGCTTGCTTGGTGCTCTGCTCTATCATGTGGCCTTTCTCGGTGGGAGGGTTTCCCATACTCCATGACTTCTTGTCGCCTGCTGCTGCTTCCCTTACTAAGTCGAGGGTGGCTGCCGGGCATCCCTGCCTTGGCAACTAGGCTCCCGGGCCCCAGGCACACTGCAGGCAGCTGGGCAGGGACTGAGAGCCGAGCTCCTTCCTCACTAGCCTGTTGTCTGCTTCCACAGAATCTTCCTTAGACTCTTTATGCAGAGGAGTATGGGGGGTGGGGGTATGTGTGTGTGTCACAGATCAAAATGGTTCTTCACATTGGTTTATTCTAATACATTTTTATACAAGAGCTATGATATAAACACAGAATGGAAGTCTTCAATAAAATCACCCTACCAGCCTTTCCTATGTCTATAAAGTATGATCAGTGTGAACCAGAGTGCTGTCATAGTGCACATCTGCTTTTAGAACAGCTGCTTTTCTCAGTTAAAAATGTTAGACCATTTAGAGTGTATTCGGTTTATTACTACAGACAGCACAGCAGGGGTTTGCATGTGAGGACGTTTCTTTTATGGGGGTTAAATTTTGTAGAACTGCTGAATCAAAGCATATGAACATTTGGAATGTTGCTACTACAATAAAATGTTAATATTTGTGCTCAAATGTCCTTTAAGAAAGTGTTGGTTTATACTCGGATGTGGCACAGCCTGACCCCTTCCTTTTCAGATCGCGCTCCAGGACCTGCAGACTAATTCCAAGATTGCCGCGCTCCTGCCTTACTTCGTTTATGTGGTCAGTGGGGTAAGTAACCAGGCTGGGGCAGGGGACGATGTTTGTGGGGAGTAGATGACCCAGGACAATGTCAGGCTAACGCAGGTGCCCTCAGAATAGTAGGCTCCTGCCCGCACCCCTGTGTCTCCCTGAACTTCCTTCTTCCATCAGGTAAAGTCTGTAAGCCATGACCTGGAGCAGCTGCACCGGCTCCTGCAAGTGGCACGGAGTCTGGTTCGGAACCCACACCTCTGCCTGGGGCCCTACGTCCGCTCGCTGGTGGGCAGTGTCCTTTACTGCGTCCTGGAGCCACTGGCGGCCTCCATCAATCCCCTGAACGACCACTGGACTCTGCGGGATGGCGCTGCCCTCCTGCTCAGCCACATCTTCTGGTAGCACCGGGCCCAGAGTTGATCGGAGCTGAGTGGGTTAGGGCAGGGACATGGGTACATCCTCTGGCTTTGAGGCTGTATGTTGAAAGGTCAGGGGAACCTTGCCCTTTGAACTTCTCAGTTGGGTGACAGATAAGATTTTGTTCCTTCAATGCTCAGGTCCCGGACCAGTTAACCTAACCGCCCTGTTCACTGACCACATGCCTTTCACATGCTGTTTTCTCTCTGCTGTGATTGGAGCCTAGAGGGCAGCACCCGGCTTCCTTCCCTACTCTGATTGAACGTTGTTTCCACAGGACTCACGGGGACCTTGTGAGTGGCCTGTATGAACAAATCCTGCTCTCCCTGCAGAAGGTCTTGGCTGACCCTGTGCGGCCTCTCTGCTCGCACTACGGGGCTGTGGTGGGCCTGCATGCCCTTGGCTGGAAGGTGAGGGCCCCAGCTTTTCTCACAGATTATGAGAGCTCTGTTTGTAGCTAGAAAGTAGGATTTGTCTTGTATCAGAAAAGTGTATGCTCACTGCTGCTGAGTTCTGAATTCTTGCCTCAGGCCATGCTCCATGGCAGCCTGCCTTTCTCTTTCAAAAATCTACATGGCAGATGTTACTGTGTCCATTTTATAAGTTTCTGCTCACTGTTTTGTCATATAAAGGAGCTACCCTTCAGTCTTCTTCTATTGAGTATCATAAAGCTGGATTTTGAACTTTGTCAGCTACCTTCTTAGCATCTGTCAAGGTTATCAAATGGTTATGCCTCTTAATGACAGGTTATATTAGATTTTTCTGCTGACCCTTTCTTGCCTACTGGGGTAAATTCTCTTTACTGCTATTGAGATTTTTAGTGGAATTATATTAGTTCAGCTTTGGAGAGAATGGACATCATTAATGACATTAAGTCTTCATTTATGTTGAACTTTTGTCAAATGCCTCTTCTGTATATATATATATATATATTTTAATAGAGGCATGCTTTTATTTATTTGTTTGTTTGTTTTTTTGTTTATACATGCACTGGGTACAGTCAGAAGCACGGGAGGGTGGGAGAATTCACCAGAGCCAGAGCGGGGAGCAGAGCAGGCAGAAGGACCGAAGTACACTGCTGAGGGGAGCAGTGGGCGGCAGGAGAGGTCTGCGCGCCATGTGGGACCCTCCTCCGGTGGCCGGGGAGCAGCCGGGGATCGAACCGGCGCCGCAGAGGCCGCGGGCAGCCTCACAACCCAGCGCTCAACTGCTGCGCCACCGGGGAGGCCCCTCTTCTGTATATTTTTAATTGATTCCAAGGATGTGCATTTATCTATTAATGTGATTAACTGAATACCCATTTTCTAATAATAAACCATCGTTACATTTCTAGGATAAACTAGGTAGCTTTAAAAAAAACCCCAAGTTTTATTAGGATATAATGCACTGTTTGGTTTGCTAAATTTTTAGAGGATTTAATTCATGATTGAAATCAATCATAAGTTTTCTCTTGTACTGGCTTTAGTGTTAGGGTTATACTGGCCTCATAGAATGAGTTCGGGAGTATTTCTCTTTTATGATTGTGCTATGAGATTGAGATACTCTTCCTTGAATGTCTTAATTGCATTCCCCCAAATTAATCACAGGATTTAAAATTATGTAATCAGAGTCCAGGTCTGTTTTAGTGCAGGTAGTTGCAACTGAGAGTTAGGTTCACTGCACCAGAATACTTGTCTGTTGACTGTATGGGGTGGTAGATAAATTTCTCAGTTTTCAGCTGAGTGTTACTTACACCCTCTAGCCTTGGCATGTTTTGGCGCTAATAGGGTACATTACATGGTTTGCATCTGACCTTTCTTCTCAGTGCTTAACCAAGGCTCAGGCTTAGAGTAGGTACCAAATAAACCATAGATGAATGTGCCAGCAGGGAATTCACAAGGATCAAGCCCGCTTCAGTGCTGGAGCTAAAAATATGGTCTTTCGTGGAAAAGGATATTGAGGCAGTGAGCAATAAAGAGATGCTTACTGTTTTCCTTCTCTCCCATCCAGGCAGTAGAACGAGTCCTCTATCCACACTTGTCCACTTACTGGACAAATCTTCAGGCTGTGCTGGATGATTATTCAGTATCTAATGCTCAGGTTAAAGCAGATGGACACAAAGTCTACGGAGCCATTTTGGTGAGTTCCAGGCCCTTCCAGTCCCCTTCCCTGCCTGAGCTGTTACTTTGGGACACTCGATGGCCTGGGATACCTCCTAGTCCTTGCCTAGCCCATACCTTCTACTCTCACAGGTGGCCGTAGAACGACTCCTGAAGATGAAGGCACAGGCAGCAGAGTCCCAAAAGGGGGGTCCAGGCGGCAGCGGGTGGCGGCGGTCGGACGACCTGCCCTGGGACAGCCTTCTGCTGCAGGAGTCTTCCTCCGCTGGCAGCGCAGAGCCAGGCTTTGGGGGTGGGCTCCCGCTGCCGCCCGGAGGCGTGGGACCAGAGGACCCTTCCCCTTCCGTGACCCTGGCGGACATCTACCGGGAGCTCTACGCCTTCTTCGGTGACAGCTTGGCCACCCGCTTCGGCACGGGTCAGCCCGCGCCCACGGCCCCACGGCCGCCCGGAGACAAGAAGGAGCCGGCGGCCGCGCCGGACTCGGTGCGGAAGATGCCGCAGCTGACGGCGAACGCCATGGCCAGTCCGCAGGGAGACGAGAGCCCCCGGGGCGGCGGCCCACCCTCGGCCTCTGCGCCCGCCGCCTCCGAGAGCCGGCCGCTGCCGCGCGTGCACCGCGCCCGGGGGGCGCCCCGGCAGCAGGACCCCGGCGCCGGCACCCGCGACGTCTTCCAGAAGAGCCGTTTCGCCCCGCGCGGCGCCCCCCACTTCCGCTTCATCATCGCCGGGCGGCAGGCCGGGAGGCGCTGCCGCGGACGCCTCTTCCAGACGGCCTTCCCCGCGCCGTACGGGCCCAGCCCGGCCTCCCGCTACGTGCAGAAGCTGCCCATGATCGGCCGCACCAGCCGCCCGGCCCGCCGCTGGGCGCTCTCGGACTACTCGCTGTACTTGCCGCTCTGACGCGGCGGCCCCCGCCCCGTGAATAAACTCGCGCCCGGAAGTGACGTCTCCGCGCTCGTGGTCGCGCCGGAGGAGGCGGGGCTTGGGCGGTTGGTTCCTGCGCGGCGCTTCCTGGGGGCGAGGGCGCCATGGCGCTGCCCTGGTTGCACCGCTTCGAGCTCGCGCTCTTCGCTGCCGCCTTCCTGTGCGGGGCCGTGGTGGCCGCAGCGCTGACCCGAACCAAGGTGCGGCTGCGGAGCGGGATCAGCCTTGGGGTCGGGGCGGGTAGGTGGGCGGCCGGCCGGTCCTGACGCGGGGAGAGCGCGGCTTGCCGGGCCGGGCGAGACCCGGCGCGCCGCCCGCGGGGACAAGCGGCCCCCGCGCCCGCCCGGGTGGTGCTCGCAAGGCGCTTCTTCGCCACGGGGTTAAGTCCTCAGACCTGGCCTGGTCTCACTGCTCCCGCTGCATAACCGTACCCCGGTTCTGACACCGAAATACCCTCGGGCTCTCCCTCCCTTACATCAGAAATTGTGCTGAACTTCGTCAAGAAATAAAGCATGGTGGGTGGAGACGTCATTGCAGCACACAGAACGCTAACGCAGTAGCGTTTACATTGTTGACCCCAACCAGGCTGTCTTGCTAATACAAATTCACGTCATCTGCCAGCCACGCCCAATTTATAGATTAGAAAGCATCGGAGATCGTTGTTACCCAAGGTCTTGATTACTCTAGCTTTTCCGCACGCAAGGGAGACCATCACTATCACCTATTTCTTGATTCTTCTGGCCATTGCAGGTTTGATCGCCTCAGCTGGCCCTCGACGCGTCTTTTGGCCAGGAAACGAACTGGCAGTGCGCAGATACCTTTGTAGGGTGGCCTTGGCCTGCGTTGTCCCTTACATCTGCCAGGAACCTGCACGCAGAGGCAGACTTGAAATCTAAGACTTAGAAGCTTCTTTCCACAGGGCTCCTTCAGGGGCAGCTGTCCCCTATATGGTGTGGTCACCAGGAATGGTTCCACCTTGGCCTTGTCCCAGCCCTCGGCCCCATCCCTCTGCTACTTTGTGGCTGGGGCCTCTGGCCTTCTGGCCCTCTACTGTCTCCTGCTTCTGTTCTTCTGGGCCTACAGCAGCTGCATCGAGGATTCCCACAGGTGACTGCCCCACTCTGAGGGCCAGGGGCTGCGGTGGGAGAAGGCCCATCTCAACTACAAAGCTTGTTCTCTTCCTCCTCAGAGGCCCTATAGGGCTCCGAATTGCATTGGCCATCTCAGCTATAGCCATTTTCCTGATCTTAGTGTCTGCCTGTATCCTTCGGTTTGGCACCAGTTCTCTCTGCAAATCCATCATTTCCCTCAACTCTACAACTAGGTAATGGGAGAGGGCGGGGTGCCTGGCTGGGGCTGACTACCTTTCCTCTGCAAGTCAAGGGTTCCTATGGCCAAGGACCTAGATGCAGCTGTGTCGACTATATCCCTGCTTTCTCACAAATGTCTCTTTGACCTCACAGCTGCTCTGAAGCCCAGAAAATTTCTTGGACACCCCCTGGAACCGCTTTGCAATTTTACTCCAATCTACACAATGCCGAAGTGAGTCCTGGGATTGAAATGTCGGGTGGAGACCCAGGGACACACTGAGATTCAGAGACACCTATAACCATGAGTGCTCCTAGTTTGTCCTACCAGTAAGAGGCCAAGAGGAGCTGAAGGGCTTGTCAGCCTGGCAGCAAACAGATGAGAGGTATGGGGGTGAGCTGGATGGCCCCACTCCTCATGCTTTGTTCCTGTCTCCCACAGACCTCTTCTTGGGTGAATCTGGTATTGTGGTGTGTGGTCCTGGTGCTCCAGCTCGTGCAGTGGAAGTCTGAAAGCACACTATACCTTCCTCTGCAGAGGGGGGACCCTGTGTGGAGCTCCGAGACAGACACTCTTGTTGGGCCGCGGCTTTCCCATTCCTGAGGAGTAACCTGAGTGCTTCCTGCAGCCAAGACTCCATGCCCCAAGTGCCTGCAATCCTGTTGCCCCCGCATGGCCATTTACGCTGGGAGCCTGTTCTCCCTCCACGAGGGAAACATGATCTTCCCCTTCCATTCCTCTTCCTACAGCCTCCTTTTTGTACCAAAGTATTATATTACTTTCTTCCTAATGGTACTGAGTTCTTGATGTTAAAAGTTAAAAGTTCAGGTTCCAGGGAGTGGGAGGGAATGAAGGCTAACCAGACATTCATCAAAACTTACTGTCAGGGAGATGCCCTTGGGATGGCTGCCTTTATTTACTGCTAATCTTGGCTCTGAGTGTGGCCTTGGTGGTTGTCCCACCCTATGTTTCAGTTTACTCCCCTTTGGGTGGGGTGAGTGACTCCAGCTGGTTTCTTCACAAGGAACGGTAGGCCCCCACAGTGTTGTCAAAGAGTTTGGTGTTGGGAAAATGTCCAGCTTTGTCCAAGAGGAAGTAGAAGCGCCGGCCTTTGATCTTCAGAGGCAACATGGCAGGGACTTCACCCCGGTGGGCCATGCAGGACACTTGGTTCAAGGGAACCGTGAAATGGGCCCCCAAGCCGAACGGGGCGTGAGTGGTGAGGGTAACCTGCTTCCCTCCGGCCAGTAGGGTCACTGAACGCACAGAGCGGAGGGAGAAGAGAAGACCCGCACCAAGCACCAGGGTACCTGAGGGAAGAGCAAAGACTGGGGTGAGGCCCGGGTCCCCCACACTCACCAGAGCGCTAAGCGGCGACCCTCCCAATGCTCCCTGAATAAAAAATACTGTGGCGACATTAATACCTGAGTTCTTACACCCCAGAACCCAGGCTCCGTCATTCCTCCCAACCACCTGAAGTCTATCGCCACCTCTGGCAACAGATACTATACCTATTCACATCCAATAGGTCCAGCCCCATTTAAAGACGAGAAAGCGGGTGCAGAGCTTCAGGAGCCCGCTCAAGGTCGCCCTGCAAGGGCCAGACCAAAGAGGGCTAGCTCTGTCCGAGGGCGCCCCGCATGCCGAGTGGGGCGCGGCCCACGCCTCACCTATGGCGCCGCAGCCCACCGCCAGCCCGTAACGCCAGAGCGTTGAGCGCACGTCCGAGCGTCCGCGGTCTGGAGGCGCCGCGGCCGGGGGTCGGGCCCAGGCGGCCGCGGCCAGGGAGGCCCAGAAGACGCCCTGGCCGGCGCAGAAGAACCCGAGGACCACGAAGAAGCGGCCGCGTTCATGCTCATACAGCAGCACGTCGCGCGCTGGGCGTCCGTCGTGCAGAGGCCGGCGCGCGGGCAGATTCCGCAGGGTCGCGAGCAGGCGAGCCGGCCACAGCCCCCCGGGCGCCGCCATGGCCGCCCGCGCCGCTTCCGGGGCGGGACTTCCGGCGCGTCGCCCCGCCCCGTGCAGCATCCGCGCTCGGCCCCAGAGCCGCCAGCAGAGCCTGGGCTCAAGTAATCCAGGAGTGGGACAGGAAATACAATACCGCTCTTTATCTTAAAAAGTAGGGAGGGTTCTGGGGTTAAGTACACAAAGCACCTAAGTCCTTCGAATAGTTTAGTGTCAGTTCTACAAAGTAAGCTTTGGGTTCGTCGCACCAGTGAAGCTCAATCTTCTGGAATCTTCCAGAAGGCAGGTGAGGAGAGGGATCCAGCAGCTCTCCCTCCTCGGTCACAGTCACGGGGTGGCCTCAGCCAGAGAGAAGACGACAAAGATGACAAGGAGACATCACTATCCAAGCACTATTTACAGGGGGCTGCTTCTGGGGCATTATCACTTCATGAACGCCACTTCTGGGATCTTATCCTTGGCCTGTAGAAAACAAAAAGGTCAGCAAACGCCAGGCAGTCTGAGCCCAGGAAATCCCAGCTTATCTGACCCTGCTAAAAGCCCTGCCCTTTTGCCGCTCTATTCCTAAAACGTACCTTGAGCAGAGTGAAGGCCTGGGCAGATCGGGTGTAATCCCAGTTGTTGTCCTGAAGGCATCTGAGCAGGGGAAGAACAGGCATCTCCATTAGAACTAAAATGCATGGGGCCTCCCTGGTAGCCTAGAGGTTAAGACTCAGCTATCACCGGGAAGGCCTGAGTTTGATCCTCAGCCGGGGAGCTGACTGATACAGGGAACAACAGACCTCTCCTGTCTGGCCCACTGTTCCCCTCAGCAGTAAATCTGGCTGTTCTTCCCCCACCTCTGCGTCTGGTAAATCCTCTCAACCCCCTGCACCTCTGGTCTACACCCCAGTTCTTCTACACATAAATAAAACCTTAAAAACAAAAACCTGAAATACAGTCCCCTGACCACCAAATGCTGCTTTAAATCCATCCTAGAGAAACACTCTCCCAGATGCCAATAATTCTATACATTCCTGCACTATTAATATAAATGAAAAATCCATATCTGCCCATGGTCTACTGAACTGAAAGGAATATTAAACAGTTAACAAGACCACCAAGGTAATTTTGATTCTGATAGGGAAGAGGTTTATGGGATAAAAAGACATGTTGCACAACAGTATAAAAGGGACTTCGTTTAGGTTTGCAGTTGTTATACTAATTTATGCACAGGACAAATCTTTTTATGGACCCTTTTTTTTAAAAGGTTTATTTATTTTTATACAAGAGCTGGGGTACAGGACAGAGGGGCAGGAGGGTGACAGGATTCACCAGAGACAGAGTGGGGAGCAGAACAGTCAGACAACCAAAATACACTGCTGAGGGGAGCAGCGGGAGTGACAGGAGAGGTCTGCTGCACCATGTGGGAATCTCCCTGGCCGGCCGGCAATTGAACCTGCGTTGCAGAGGCTGCGGACAGCTTCACAAGCACTGTGCTCAACCTGCTGCACTACTGAGGAGGCCCTAGACTATTTGTTTCTTTAAGCAACTTTTGACTTAAAAAAATTTTAGGAGGGGCCTTCCTGGTGGTGCAGAGGTTAAAGACAGCACTATCAAGCTATTGCCAGCCACTGCTGCACAAGTTTGATCCCTGGCTGGCCAGGGAGCAACCCACATGGCACAGCAGACCTCTCCTTCCTTGCCCGCTACTCCCCTCAGCAGTGCATTTCAGTGGATCTGCCTGTTCTGCTCCCCACTCTCTGGTGAATGCTCTTACCCCCACATACGTCTGGCTTAAATCCCAGTTCTTTTATCCATAAAAAAATCTTTTTTAAAAAATTTCAGGAGCACTTACTATCAGCCCTACCTCAGTTTATCCCATTCTTACACATGCTGTGCACTTACTTCTGGGACCATTCAAGGTTCATGCCAGATTGGGTAGAGAATGCCTGCAGCATTTCCTGCTGCTCTGGAGAGAGGGTGGGCACTGGACTGGAGGAAGGCGTGGGTGCTGGCATGGCGAAGGCTCTCTGGATCTCATCAGGGCTGGCATTCCGCACGAATAGCTCGTCATTTACGATGCACAACCTTGGGGACAGATGGTAACTCACATAGCTGGACAGATAACTTCACCCTCCCAGCACCCGCCCTAGTCCGAGATACTGACACTTCTTAACACTTAGATTCCTTCAACACCCGCCAGGTGCCCCACGCAGTCTTAGCTGGCACCGCATGGCATTCACCTTTCCCGTGGACGCCATGTACAGGACTATCTACCAAACATACAAACATGACACATTTCTCCTCAAAAACAAAGCAGCGTGCCTCACCCCATCTATCCTCACAACAGACCTGGGGAAGTGAATATTGTTATACCAGCTTCCAGAGGAGGAAGCCTGTCCTTGGCTACAAGCAGTAGAGTCGAGATGAAAATACCCAGGCTGCCTGACTTGGAAGGGAGGCTCTTCACCACCATCCAAGCCACTTCCTCTCATCTCCTTCTGCCTTTCTGAAATTAGGAACTTAGCCCGAGGACTGACTCCACCCCCTCCTTCCTTCTGGCACAGCCTGGTGCCCTGTGTGGTAAGCTTAACACTTGCCCCGAGTTGCTGGCAGGAACAGCGATGAAGGTCCGAGTAAAGGCTCGCAAGGAATCTCGAGACTTTCCATCCACTGCAATGACAAAAAGGCAAATGACCCTTTTGAGTTGCTTGTTCTTTATCCTAACAGCCTCTCAAATCATGGTGGTGGTGACAAAGTGCCCTAAGTGGGCCCAATCAGGATGACTATGCGGGTTCAGGGGTGCAGAGAAGGGTGAAGTGTCAGAGGTCTGGGAGGACAGCTCCTGACAGGGCAATTATATACCAGCCCCTGCGGCAAGCGATGTAGAAGCCACTTAATCCATTCCCCATAGCACCACTATGGCATGGCTAACAAGAACCCCCTTCCACAAACAAAATCCTCATGAGGCTTAGAGGTCATGGAGACTGCCCAGAGAAAACCACGGTTCGGAGTTAAGCTCAGACCTGCCTGACTCCAAAGTCCGTGTCCTCCTAATCCTCAAGCTTTTCCCAGACCCCAGACAGGGAAGACAGGTGGAGGGGGTAGGCCAAACGAAGCTGGCTCGGGGGCAGAATGGAAGAGGTCAGGAAGAGAAGGTGGCTGGTAAGCCGAGAGAGATGAGAAAGACACGAGCTGCAAACTCAGGACTGAAAGTCTCACCTTCCTTGAAGACCCCGCTGACAGAAAAACACAACAGAGTGCTCTGGAAGAGAAGCAACATCGTTACCATGTGGGCTCCCGCCAGAACCCGAGCCCCTGATTTCTTCATCGTCCTTTCCAGATTACAAGCTGCTGTCAGGGGGAGTAAGCGCTTACCGTCTGGGCACTTATGTCTACCACGAAAGAATTGACGTCGTGCTGAGTTTTGGGCAGCTCGTTGAGGAAGGCGACGACGTTGAGGCGCGTGTGCTTTAGCAGCCGGAACCGCAGAGCTGTGGGCAGAGGGTGCGGGGAAGGCTAAGGTAAGTGGCTGCTGTACACACGTGTGCTGTCACCGGTTCCCTCCCATCCCCTTCACCATCCTGCTTTGCTCACATCACACTTACTAGGGTCTTTAAGCTTCTTCACATTCCTGCTATCTTTGAAGTATTCAGCCAAGTTGCTTCTGGAGGAGAAGAAGAGGTGGCAGTGGTCTGAGCAGCATGGCCGCTGGCAGGGGCTAGCCTGCACTTGCTGGGGTACTCTGGTTCTGGGCATGCTCTGGATGTGATACTCACCGGGAAGGGTTCTGGGGGGTAAAAGGGATACTCAGGGAGCAGCAGGCCCCATCGTGGTAGGCGTCCAGGAGTCCCTGCCGGTCTCCCGAGTCATAAATTGTGTAATACCTGTGAGAAAGACAGAGAAGGCAAGATCTGAGTCCCATGGCCTGGCCCAAGGGCCCTGGCAGTTTCCAAGCAGAGCTGTTTCCTTGAGAGTCCAGTCCACCTTTCCTCTCTAGCCCAGGGGACATGGGGCTGGGGTACTCACTGCTGCAAGAAGTGCAGGACCAGATTCTTCAGATTCTCGGTTCCAAAATAGCTTCCCTGGGATCAAACAGGTATTAGGGCCATGTAACCAACACTCTCCTCCCAACACACAAGTTCGAACTCTGAGCCCCTCACCTTGCAGGGCGGTAACATCGTGGGGGCTTCAACATCAAAGGCAATGGGCGGGGGTAACTCATGGCCATCCTGCAGAAGGAAGTGAAAGTCGTCCACGTAAACCAGAACGGAAGGCTGGATGAATAGGCAGGAAGGCCAGTGAAGGGTCAGAGGTCACGTGTAAAGGAGCCAGGGAAGGGGCCAGCAATCTCCATAGATGCCAGACACCTCTTCTTGTCTATAAGCATCTCTCTGGGAAGGACTGTTAAAGCCTTTGTCAGAGTCTCAAAGGGACCCATGTCCCCAAGTTAACAGTAATAAGGAACACCCCAAGGCCCTGGGGTGGGAGATACCACACCCATTAAAAGCAAAAGTAACAGGCCACTGACAAGCCCGACCACCTCCCAGTGGCCCCCATACATTCACCCCCCCACAGCAAGTTGCCCGAGAAGCTCAGGAATCCCCTTTGTCTTGTCATGTCTCTGAAAGTTGACTGTACTTCTGTGAAGACACCACATAGTGAGCTGAAGCTCAGTCCACCCTTTTAAGTTATTTTTTTTCCCCTTTTTTAAAGATTTATTTATTTATTTATACAAGCACTGGGTATAGTCAGAAGCACGGGAGGGTGAGAGAATTCACCAGAGCCAGAGCGGGGAGCAGAGCAGGCAGAAGGACCGAAGTACACTGCTGAGGGGAGTAGCGGGCGGCAGGAGAGGTCTGCGCGCCATGTGGGCCCCTCCTTCAGTGGCCGGGGAGCAGCCGGGGATCGAACCGGCGCTGCAGAGGCTGCGGGCAGCTTCGCAACCCAGCACTCAACTGCTGCGCCACTGGGGAGGCCCCTTTTAAGTTATTAACGTTAGTAAACTTGATTTTCTCTTGGTTGGAAAAAAAAGAAAACGTACTTACCAGGCGTAATAATTTGGGAAATCGTTCGCGAATGGCGCTGTCAAGAACGGGACAGAAGTGAGTGACGCTTCAGAGCCACCGTGCCTCCTGGCTGCTCTAGGAGCAAATACACCACACCCGAGGGACAGCCCGGTCCGTCCTGCTCGTCCTCACTCCTCCCCAGCCTCTGAGCTCTGGGAGAAAAGGCCCCATCCCCGCCTTACCCGGGGTGCCCGGTCCAGAAACGCCTTGAAGGCTGACTTCTCTCGGCCTGAGCCCGAGTGCCACAGGAGCAGCGCTCCCAGCCCAGGCTTTAAGCCCAGGCTCTCCTTCCCTTCCCTGCCCCCCTTACCTTCCACCTACTCACCTGTGCAGCCCCGGGAGGAGGGAGTGGGGTGGGAGCCCAGGGGCTCCGCTGCCTCAACAGGGATCCATCAGTTCTGCCAGGTCTGGCCCAGGCCAAGACCAGGACACACCATGGGGATGGCACAGATGTGGGGGCAGGGAGGTGAGCAAGGCGGGCTCAGGAGGAGGGTAGGCCAAGGAACGGAGAGAGGAGGACAGGGGAAGAGCAGGTAAGATGGAGCAGGGCCAAGGGACAGATGAGGCAAATACAGAGGAGTGGAGAGAAAAGGAAAGAGCAAAGAAAAAGCAAGAGAGCTACAAGGCAAGGAAGCGTTTAGAAAAAACGGGGAAAAAAGGGAAGACGTCACCCCAACACAGCCCCTTCCTTCACCTGCCTCTTCCCTGGGCTCCAAGGCTTAAAAGGGGAACAATCGCTTGCTGCAGTGAGAGGGCAGCGGCTGTCGGCCAGGCCTCCATCTGCTCCCTGGGTTCCGATCTGAGCTGGGTGTGGGAAGCGAAGCAGCCATGGGGGCAGGAGACTCCCCTCAGAAGGAGTAAGGGCTCAGGCCCCTGCCAAGTTGGGGGGGTGAGGGTCTGTGCCCCACCTCTGTTGGCCCCCAAGTTCTCTCCTGATGGCCCCTCTGCGACTGTGCCTGTCTTAGGTTGTTCCTTCCCTGAGGAATCTTACCCGTCTCTGGCTAACCAGCCATCCTCCGGGGCCAAACAGGGTGATGTGAGGTGTGCGAGTGAGGGAGGGGCAGTGCCCCCCAAGAGGGTCAGTTCTTTGTCTCCTTGGTAGCCTTTGCCCCCATGGCCTCCACGCCCAGGACCTGCCTTGGGAACCGCTCGCCTGATGGCGGGGCCCAGCTCTGGTCGCGTGTCTCAGGGAACCCAGGTTTCTTCTCCAGGGAGGGCCCAGCTCACAGCACTGGGCAAAAGACAAACTTCATGGCACCAGTGTCCGGGAGGCCTCAACCTCGACGTGGGTGCAAGGCCCAGGCAACACCCTTGAGCAAGTGATCGTGAGAAGAGGGGCCTTTTGGCAAACGGCAAAGGAAGAAAGGCCCCTTGGCCGTCTCAGGTCGGCAGGGCTGTCAGCCCAGCAACACCAGGTGCTTGGCACAAGGCAACTTCAGAGATGAGGTGTATACAAGACATCCCTGGTCACATCAGGAAAGGAGAGATGCCCTTTCTGGAACAGGGTAGGGAGGTTCTAGAAAAGGCCGTGTTTAGGGAGGAAGGAGCAAGGCCAGAGTGCCAGCAGCAAGTAGTCAGGTGAGAAGACAGGAAAGGAGACCTCGGGGCAAAGCTGGGACACACGGACAGACGAAAAGGAGGAGCATGTGATCCTCCCAAAAGAACCGGTGGTTCCAGCTCAGGGCTGCACAGCTCCTGCAGATGGGCACTGGTCAGGGTGCATGAGCTAGCCTCCCAGGGGGTGAAGGTCCCCAGGAGGGGGGACAGAGGCTACAACTGACCTGATGTAAGTGGACTGGTCTCGGAAAGTGTCACACAGGGGGTTTCCATCGAGCCACAGCTCTTCTAGCTTCAGCCCTTTGATCTTGTCCAACTCCCGCTCGGACTTCAACTACAAAGGACGGTGGCAAAGGCAGGAAAGAGAAGCAGGTGAAGAGAGGCAGCCAGGCTCCCACAAGCTAGTCCCCACTGCCCTCATCTGACATGCCTCCCTTGCCCCTTGGTACCATGGCGCAAGCCCTCTCCTTACTCTGAGTGCCCCAGCAAGAGCACACAGGGACCGCCATTCTCACCTCATTTCCGGAGAGGTTTAGGATCTTTAGGTTGGGTGCTTTCTGCACAATGCTAGACATGTCATCCAGCCTGTAGAGCCTGTTGTTGCTCAAATTCAAGAACAACAGCTGTGGGAAGAGTTAAGAGGGTGCAGTGGCCATGAGGAAAGCAGAGATAAATCTGCCTCCCAACCCCATCATTCCCCCACCTTCCCTCTGAACACCCCTGCCAGCTGCTTCCTCCTTAGTGGTTGGACAGAGGCCTCACCTCAGGGATGTTTTCTTCAATGATTTGGAGGGTAGCTGCCATACAACTTCTACGATTCAGGACAACATCAATGTTCTGGGCCACCAAGTCTTCAGGAAGCAGAAAAGGACAGGAAGTCTGAGAGGGCTGGCCCAGGCAGCACGCACACCCAACCATCCCAATGCTCCCTGCCTGGCAGACCCCCTCGGCCTTCATCTACCCACAACAACTGCCGTCACTTGCACCTGGGTCTGAGCGGAGGGCCTTGAGGTCAAGTGCTTGTTGGGAGCCATCATAGCGTTTGCTCATGATCAGCTGCAGAGGGAAAGAAAAGTAGAGGCGTCGCTGGGGTTGTGAGGACTGGCAAGATGAGGCGGAAGCACGTTACCTGAACGTGCCTTACCTTTAGCTGTTCTACTTGCTCTGGCTTCAGTTCATTCTGTACAGTATGGGGTGGAGCAGAGGGGTTGATGAAGATAGATATCTGCAGGGGGGACACAAGGGCAGGGTGAACTCCAAGGACGCCAAGACCCAGCCCCTGCCCTAAGCACCAGTGCCCCACCCCAGCCAAGCCTGGCCCTTTACACACACCCTTCGGTTCTCCCGATCCACAATCTTATAGTTGACAGCCTTCAAGGCAGAGGCGGTACTAGCATCCTCGACAAAAAATTGGGCTCGTGTGTTTTCATAGTGAAACTGCAAGAGGAAATACATGTGTTACACTTGGATCGCAGAGCCCAATGCCCAGATGGCCCCTTTGCCCTCCCTGGTGGCCACTCAGGTCTTAGCTTACCTCGATGGGTGTGAAAGGGACACTACACTTGCTCTGAATCATGCTCAGGAGCCATGACTTGTCATATTTTCTGCCATAAGGAATCTAGATGTGAGGAGAAAAGCAGGGAACCATATGCGGTGATATGTAAGGCTGAACAACAGCCGGTCCAATCTAATGCTCCTTTCGTACCTTCTGCCAAGCTTCAAAAGATTGTCTAAAGAAAGGACCAGTAAGAGGTTTCCTACTCCAGCCAGACATGGATTCCTTAACCTCCTTTCTGTTCACTTATACTTCTTATTCTTCAAAAGAATCAAACTGTTAGAGTCTATTCTAAAAATTCCTGCCCCTCAAAGAACTCAAGGGACCCCAACCCCCACACTTGGCCTGAGTCAAATGGAGACAGCCAGGAGTTACCCCACCCCAACCACAGACATCACACTTCCCCTTCAGATGGCCTCCCCATCCTGCTTGTCCCCCTCTGCCTCTGGGCCTGCTCTGAGGTACTCTGAGACACCAGTTCTCAGGAGAAAGGATGGATGTCTCATTGTGGAATAAACCCCTTGGCTCTGAGCCCAGCCCCTAACTCCCCGGCACTACCTACTTTCCAAGATACTCACTGTAATCTTAAACCAGTTCTTTGCAGTCCCATCCTGGCTGGTGCCAGCCCCTCCTCTGTCCAGAGGTCTGTCTCGTGGCCGTAGGGTAACATGAATACGGTCTCGATCATGCCAGGCTTCACCCCGACGGTTGGTTCGGGTGGCATAAGGGTTGCTGTGAAGATGCAGAGAAGGAAACATCCATAAACGCTAGGAAGGTTTTTGAGAAGACCTTCCTGTACTATCATCAGCACAGCTAAGGCTACTACTCAGTTGTTAGGTTGGTCCTGCCTCCCAGGTAGAAAGAGAAGTAATGAGAACAGTAAAAGGACTACTACAGAAGCAGATGGTTCCTAGAGTCAACAGACCAACTGGTCACTTACTATCGTACTCGGGGACCATCCTGGGCATCACTCATTGCCACATCTCTGTCATCATCCTCAAGGCGGGAAGACCGAATGCCAGAACCTCCTCTTCCAGACCGACGGTTCCCCTCACCATACTTCCACCGAAAAGGACCCCGGCCTTTCTTCCTTCTTTGAGGGAAACTAACGCGGTCATCGTGCTCTGAAATTAAAGAAAACACAAATTAGAAAATATCTCATTGTTTCAGCAGCCCTCTGTGGCAGTCCTAATACCCAGCAATCTGCATGATCAAATGAAGTAAGAGATCACCTCCAGGCAAGCTCCTCCGCCAGTCCAAAGACCCCTCTATCTGGGATGGTAGCATCAGGGAAAAATGGTTGGAAAAATGTGTAGGATTTTTGAAAACTGAAGCAAAAACTAGAACCAAAAATAGAAGCAGGAAGTAAAAATGTAAGTGACCCGAAAGTGTAACTGGACATAAATCGGATTATCAGAAAGTCATGTGAAATGTGCTTTCTGTCTTCCAAATCTACTTAGTCCTCCTCAAAATCTGGAAGGTGACCTCTCTCACATCAAAAGCCAATCACAATGATAAGATCAGCTTTCAGTAAACAATACTTCTTTTGCTAATAACAAAAATGTCAGCAACAAATAGATTTGCCGAGGACTTCTTTAAACATCTTGTTCTTAGATTGCTACTCTAAAGTTTTGGGAGTGAGCCCTTCTTGTTTCCTTACCTAGAAAGCCTTGTAAACTCCAGAGACAACTCCTAGATGCAGGTGCTAGTAGCAGCTAGCTTGCTTATCCAAGGTGGGAGAATGTTCTCCTATAAGACCCTTTGAGTCCTGGTATGTAGGAAGAGTTTCTTTAAAGAAGGTCCATGGCTCCCCCCAAAAGATCTGCCTAAACCCTACCTAGTACGCCATAAATAATGAACCACAAGAAATGATCCTAGGAAAAAGAAAGAAATGAGTAAAAGGAGCTAACACTCCTGGACTTTCTCAAGGGCGAGACATTAGGCTGCACGGACTTGATATGAATGCTCTCACTTTAACGAACACAAACTTAGGAAATAGAAACTGTTACTACCTTTATCAAGGGGGTGGAAAACGAGGTCGAGAATTTCACTCCCTCAAGCTTGAAAGAGCCCACTCAGAATTAAAACCTATGTTGTCAAGTTCTCCTAAATCACTACTATGGACTTAAAACCTGGTGTGGTGTAATGTTCCGACTAGACTTCCCGTGTAGATCTAAAATATTAAGACAAAGCCCCAGGGGTGGGGGCGGGGGCAAGATCGCTCGGACGCTGTAGAAAATAGGGCACAGGCAGTACAAGACAGGGCACTGACTCACATTCAAGAGTCTGGTCGCCAAACTGAACTGACAGGCATCAACCACTCACAAAGTTCAAAGAAATCTCATCACCCCACGGCCAAACCACCCGCTCCGAGCCACAGGTTCTCGAAACGTCAGGATTCCCGAGTCAACAGCTCGGGCGCCCACCCTCGAGGGTGGCCAGGCCCCACCCAGGGTGCCTCGCCCCCCACGGCCCGCGCACCGCCTCTCCCCGCGGACACGGGGCCCCTCGCGGCCTCACGCTCCGGGGCTGCGGCCTAGGCCGGCGCCGCCCACCCGGGGCCCAGATCGCTCAGCTCCCCGACCCGCGGCCCGACACTGACCGTTGTACGACTTCCCCTCGTCCGCCATAGCACAACGAGAAGCAGGGGCGGGCTCAAGCGCGGGCGCAGATGCCGCCAAACGTCCGAACGCCCAGGCGCTCAGAACCCAAGCGCTCCTACGCCCGGCGCCGCCGCATTTACTCCGCGAAGCACGTCGCACCCCTGACGTCTCCAAGGTGTGGGCGGTGCCGCGGGGAGGGGTGCGGGGGGGGGGGCGCGTGCGCACGAGCAGGAGCGCGGGGCCGGGCTCGATACGCCCCGCCCACTGAGGCGAGGTCAGCGCGTCATCCCTCAAGCAACACCCCCGCCCCGCCCCCGCTCAGCTTTCCCGGCTCCGCCCGCACCTCCGGAGTTTGCTGCAGCCCTGAGGAAGCTGCCCAAGGCAGGAGCCCAGCACTTAACAGGAGGAGCGGCCAAGAGGGCTTTGGAGCGGGAGTGACCACTCAGACCCAGGGCAGAATCCAGCCAGTGTTAACTCAGCGCAGCCCCTTGCCAGCGGCAAGTCTGTGCCTCCCTTTCCCGCCTAGGAAAACTCCGAGAGCAGGGACCTTATCTAATTCATAGCTTTTTTCCCTCCTGCGTCTGGCACTGTGCCATGCCTGGCATGTGCCAAGAGCTCAACAAGAACCTGTTAAATGGATTTATATCTTATGCGAACCCCCAAGGGCGGTCCAGTCAAATGAGGGACTGCATTATCAGGCTTTCGGCCAGTAACTGTCTCCACAACCCTCCCTACCCACGATGGATGGGCCCGGGAGGCCCACACCTTGACACCGGGCAGCAATAGCTGCCCAGGCCAGGGGAACAGGAATATTAAAATGTCAGCTAAGACCCTGAGAACCAGGGCCAGCCCAGTGTGGGGACTGTCTCCATAGCTCGAGTTTCCTCTGGGATGAGATGGGGGTACCTGAGTGACCTCAGGATGATGTGGCTGTGGGTCCTGATCAGGACTGACCAAGCAGCATATTAGCCTCCCTGGAGGGAGAGCATCCAGGCAGGCCTCTCCATTCTCTTCTGACTGGCTTGGATTTGGCGAGGTGGCTGGAAGAGACGGAGTCTCTCTTGGGAGCCAGGAACAAATTTTTCATTCCACCTTCCACTCCTGGCAGCAGAGTGAGCTCCTGCCTCATCCAGCTCCAGGAAAAACTGGGACCAAATGGTTGGAGGATGGAGATGAAACAGATGCAACATGCCTGGAGATGCTCCTGGATGGTACCACCAGTCAGGGCCCGGCCTTGGGACCCTGCTCCCCTGCGGAAGGTGCTGTTGCCCTTGGCCATCCCTTGCCTGGAGGCGGCGGTGTGTGAAGCCCAAGGCTTGGCCCCTCAGAGCCATCAGGCCAACCCTTTCCCTTCTGGTACCCGGCTGTGGGCTCACTCCATTTGATGCCTAGGCCTTTCGACGCTCCCACCCAGAAATGACAACATGGCAAGTGAGGCTAACAGTCTTGCTGTAATTGGGAGAAAATGGGCTGCAGTGCATTTGGCAGGTTGAGAGTCACCAGCAGCCAATGTCAAGGTTGTGCAGGCAGCTGAGGGGCTGCCTCACATGGTGAAGAGAGGAAGAGGTCAAATCCTAACCCAGATGGGAAAGTTGGTCCCTGGGGCAGTTCCACTTCCCCTCCTCACTGTCAGGAAGGTGGGGAAGGGCATCATCTCCCCTTGCTGCCAAAGTTTCATTTGGGAGAGGCTGGGGAGGGTATATAAAAATCTCCTAGTGGAGACAACCTCTTCCACTGACCCCCAGCTGGCCTCTGCTCTCTTCCAGCCACTTCACAGCAGAGTCCGAATCCAGAACCGTGGTTTCATGGGCCTGAGGGTGGTGAGGGGAGAATGGGGTGGGTGACCAGAGGCAAAGGATGGAGGAATCAAGGGCAGTGGCCATTCTCAGCAGTTCCAGGGACACAGGGCCATTCTCCAAGCACCCTGCACAGGCTCAGTGGCAGCACTGGCTACCTGCCCTCCCAGGAGGGTTGCAAACCCCCATGGAGTGCCTCAGAGTAGAGAGGGTTCAGGCAAGGAAGACCACAAAGATGATGAAGAAGACAATGAGGATGAGGAAGATTTTGATCATGAGCCACCGGTTGGAAGTGACCGACTGGAAGTACTTGAGGATCTCTGAATGCGCAGCATCGACATCCAGCTGGGCCCCCAGCACATTCTCATCGATCCTGGAGGGGGGGAAGGAGAGAAAAAGGGAACACAGTGGAGTTTAAAAAAAAAAAAAAAGCTGCTGAAATGTACTTACTGACTTGGAAATACGGTCACTCTGTGGCAATAAAAAGTGTTTACAGGGCCTCCCTGGTGGCACAGCGGTTGAGTGCTGGGTTGCGAAGCTGCCCACAGCCTCTGCAGCGCCAGTTCAATCCCTGGTTGCTCCCCGGCCACCGGCGGAGGGTCCCACATGGCGCGCAGACCTCTCCAGCCGCCCGCTGCTCCTCTCAGCACTGTCCTTTGGTCCTTCTGCCTGCTCTGCTCCCTGCTCTGGCTCTGGTGGATTCTCTCGCCCTCCCGCGCTTCTGACTGTGCCCAGTGCTTGTATAAATAAATAAAATAAATCTTAAAAAAAAAAAAAAAGTGGGCCTCCCTGGTGGTGCAGGGGTTCAGACGCAACCTATGAAGCAATCCACAGCCACTGCAGTACAAGTTTGATTCCTGGCCTGCCAGGGAGAAACCCACATGGCGGGACAGAACTCTCCTGTCTCGCCCACTGCTCCCCTCAGCAGTGTACTTCGGTCTGTCTGCCTGTTCTGTTCCCTGCTCTGTCTCTGATGAATCCTCTCACCCCCCCCCCACATCTCTGGCCTGTACCCCAATTCTTGTATAAAAATAAATAAATCTTAAAAAAAAAAAAAGTGTTTACATGTAGGGGCCTCCCTGGTGGTGCAGGGGTTAAAGTCTCAGTGCTATCAAGCTATTGCCAGCCACTGAGGCATGAGTTCGATCCCCAGTCAGGGAGCTGACCCACATGGCACAACAGACCTCTCCTGTGTTACCCGCTGCGCCCCTCAGCAGTGTATTTCAGTAGATCCACCTGTTCTGCTCCCCACTCTGTCTATGGTGAATCCTCTCACACCCCCTGCACCTTTGGCCTACACTCCAGTTCTTGTATGCATAAATAAAAGTAAATCTTTTAAAAAAGTGTTTACACACGGGCCTCCCCTGGTGGCGCAGGCGGTTGAGTGCAGCGCTGTGAAGCTGTCCGCAGCCTCTGCAGCATGGGTTCGATCCTGGCCAGCCAGCAAGGGTCCCACATGGCGCAGCACACCTCTCCTGTCACGCCCGCTGTTCCCCTCAGCAGTGTATTTCGTTAGTCTGCCTGTCCTGTTCCCCACTCTGTCTCTGGTGAATCCTCTCACCCTCCCGCGAATCTGGCCTGTACCCCAGTTCTTGTATAAATAAATCAATCTTAAAAAAATAGTGTTTAGGGCCTCCCGGGTGGCGCAGCGGTTGAGCCCTGGGTTGCGAAGCTGCCCGCGGCCTCTGCGGCGCCTGTTCGATCCCTGGCTGCTCCCCGGCTGCTCCCCTGCCACCGGAGGAGGGTCCCACATGGCGCGCAGACCTCTCCTGCCGCCCGCTGCTCCCCTCAGCAGTGTCCTTTGGTCCTTCTGCCTGCTCTACTCCTCGCTCTGGCTCTGGTGAATTCTCTCACCCTCCCGCGCTTCTGACTGTACCCAGTGCATGCATAAACAAAACAAACAAACAAACAAACAAATAAATAAAAAAAAATGCCTCTATAAAAAAAAATAGTGTTTACACATATATAATTCCATTTTTATGTAACTTGGTTGCGTACAGGAGAGTTCTGGACGGGTAACACAAACAAATCTTGGCTCTGGCTTGAAAATCAGCTTTTCAGCTTATGACCCTAAGTCAATCATTTGATCTCAAATTTCATTTTCTTCAACTGCAAGGAAAGTAAAAATGGGTATAACATAAATCTGACTTCCATTGTTTTTGTCAGTCTTCAATGAGCTAACAAATATAAAGCACCCAATCCATACTAAAAGCCCTCAAAATGCTTCTATTATAATATTTCGCTCATCAGTACTCACTGGCTTTTGTGTAATAAATATGTATTGCGTTAGTAATAAAGGAGAAAAAGTTCACAGACAATTATAGTCAGGAGGTCCTGTTTCTGAGTGAGACAGGAAGAAAGCTTAATGATGTGGACAGAGTATGAGGAGGTAAGTCCTGTATTAGGAAAATGAGTCTCTCCAGGATCTAGAGAAGAATTCAGGAGAAGGGTAATCTCTCGAGAGAATGCTGAGGAAAGTAAATTCTTTCCTGGCCAACCTGTACCTGGAATTCTAAAAGTCAAAAATGTCTACGGCCATACCACCCTGAACGCGCCCGATCTCGTCTAAAAGTCAAAAACAAACCCTAGTCTTTGTAAAGGAAGTTATTGTGAGCAGAGACCTTTTCCGGCTGAGAGCACAGAAAACCCAAGGTGGCTGCAGAGTGTGGGCCATTCAGTTGGAAAATAAGAGGAAAGGCGGGGCCAGTGGCTGCCAGCTGAGAAGGTGGTAATGAGGGCTGCAGGCTGATCTCTCACTCAAGTGCAGGAGTCTGGACTGGACATGATTTCCTGTTTATGCTGGGGAGTCTGACTGAAATATCAGGTTTCCTAGCTTTCAGTTTTTATAAGAGATTTTAATTAAATGGGAGTCCATGAATGAAAGCTAATAGGAGGGAACGCATGGAATTTTTTTTTTTTTAAATTAGTAATTGATAAGCTATTCAGAGCAATTGGGGAGTACTAAACACATGGGGCAGAGAATAATGGTTGGGGAAGGAGAAGGCTAGGGTAAAAGGTTTGTGGGAGTAGGGGGGACCGAAGGATATCTTAGAAAGAGAAAGAAAAACTATGGAGGAAAAGAAACAAGCATAAGAATCTGGAATCTGGGTGAAGAGAAAGGATAAATGATGTAAGTGATGAGAGAGTTGTGGAGAATCAGAGGACTGAGGGGTGAATATGAGCTGAGAGAACAATCATGGCTGCAACAGCAGCAAAGGAAAAAGGAGACTAAACTGAAGACAGTGAACCCAAGAACTGGACAGATTATTTGATGATTTGACGGTGACTAGGAAGTTGGAGGTTTTAGTTTTTTGTGATTCGGTTTCTCCAAAACTTCATACCAACAGAGAGTATCTGGGTGTTGTTCAGAAGATACAGAAGTTTCCTTGAAACAGCTCTATATGGCCAGATTTGGGAAATCTGGTTGTAACAAAAAATACTAACATTAAAAAATTATAGTACATTGAATAAAAAAAAAAATCCATTATTCTACAGTAATATTTAAAGAGAGAAAGCTCCTACTTTGCAGAATGCCAGCTAATAAAAAGAGTGAGAAAATTAGAAAATTACTATTTGCCAAAGTGTCACAGATGAGTCAGGCAAAGTCATGCTGGGGCGAGGAACTGGACACTCATGTGGACTCAACGTCCTTCCACACATGACTTAGTTGATGGTCACCATCTTAACAAGTGACCAAACCTGGTGTTACCAATGAAGGGATAGTCTCACTGCATGGCTGCTATCTGATCATCTCTGTGGCCAGTCCAAATCTAACTGAGGGGAAACACTGGGTATCAAGAAAGGGTCAATTACAAAAAACAAAACAGGAGGCAGCCTAACAGCAGAAGAGCATGTGGGCAGGAAGGTGTGGACGTGTGGATTTCTCAGATCTCCCCCCTTCTCTCCCCCATTCTCTCCACTGATGGTCTTTGTTATTACCACATTGAGCACGGGCAGAAGTCTGAGGCTTGGGCAACATAAAAAAAACAGGTTCCGGCCTCACATATGGAAGATTCTTATTTCACAAGTGTTAGTGGAGTGGACCTCTAGGAATCATTTCTTATAAGCTCCACAGGGGCTTCTGATGAGTCTCCAGGTTTGGAACCCACTGTTTAAAAGGATGTTTGTGTATTCAACATTAGCCACTGAGTATTAGCCATTTATAAGGTACTATAAATACAGCTGTCTTGGTCACCCTGGCAACTGCATAACATAATCTGCTTTCCTATTACCTGCTCCTCTCGCCTTCTAAGAACCTAATTTTAAGAATTCTCCCTCCTTGGGCCTCCCCGGTGGTGCAGCGGTTGAGCGCTGGGTTGCAAAGCTGCCTGAAGCCTCTGCAGCACCGGTTCAATCCCCGGCTGCTCCCCGGCCACCGGAGGAGGGTCCCACATGGCCCGCAGACCTCTTCTGCCGCCTGCTGCTCCCCTCAGCAGTGTACTTCGGTCCTTCTGCCTGTACTGCTCCCCTCTCTGGTTCTGGTGAATTCTCTCACCCTCCCACGCTTCTGACTGTACCCCAGTGCTCATATAAAATAAATAAATAAATAAATAAATAATAAATCTTTAAAAAAAGAATTCTCCCTCCTTGCCCTTATCACCAATTTTTATTTCTCTCTGAACCATTACCCTTAGCATGAAAACATATTTTTACTCCAACCCTTTTAAAAAACAAAAGCAAAAATCTCTTGGTTCCCAGCAGGCAAACTGGGAACATCTGAGTACTGAAAACAACCAGCCTGATTATAATACCAAAAAAACAAACAAACAAAAAAAAAAACCCAAAAAGCCCCCAAAAACTTAATGGCTCCCAAATGATGCCCAAAAGAGAGGAAGAATTAGAAATACAAAAATTCATTGGTCATTACTGGCGGCACCTGCTCCACTGACTATTTACTCTGAAAATATAGCAAAATAAGGAAGGTTTTCTCCAGCTTGGCTGAGAGGAATTTTATCTCATGTAGTTAAAGGAATGCTCTTATTTACAGAAAAATATGTCTCAATAAGACATATTTTTTTTTGTGGGACCCTTGATTTTTTTGTGGGACCCTGATTCGTTTTTTTTTTTTTTTGTGGGACCCTCACCGGCGGCCGGGGAATGAACCCGTGCTGCAGAGGCTAGGGGAGGCCCGACATAAACTGATTCAGACAAACATCAAAAATGGCTGGCCTTGGGCCTCCCTGGTGGCACAGGCGGTTGAGAGCAGAGCTGTTGAAGCTGTCCGCAGCCTCTGCAGTGCGGGTTTGATCCCAGCCGGCAGGCCGGTGAGAATCCCACATGGTGAGACAGACCTCTCCTGTCTTTTTTTTTTTTTTCCCTTAATTGTTCTTCTTTTTTTTTTTTTTAACTTTTTTTTTTTTTTTAATAGAGGCATGTTATTTATTTATTTGTTTGTTTGTTTGTTTGTTTGTTTTGTTTATACATGCACTGGGTACAGTCAGAAGCCTGGGAGGGTGAGAGAATTCACCAGAGCCAGAGCGGGGAGCAGAGCAGGCAGAAGGACCGAAGTACACTGCTGAGGGGAGCAGTGGGCGGCAGGAGAGGTCTGCGCGCCATGTGGGGCCCTCCTCCGGTGGTCGGGGAGCAGCCGGGGATCGAACCGGCGCTGCAGAGGCTGCGGGCAGCTTCGCAACCCAGCGCTCAACCGCTGCGCCACCGGGGAGGCCCATAGACCTCTCCTGTCTTACCCGCTGCTCTCCCCCTCAGCAGTGTTTTTTTTCAGTCTGCCTGTTCTGTTACCCACTCTGTCTCCGGTGAATCCTCACCGTGCATCTGGTCTGTACCCCGGTTCTTGTATAAAAATAAATAAATCTTTTTTTTTTTAAAGATTTATTTTTATTTATTTATACAAGCACTGGGTACAGTCAGAAGTGTGGGAGGGTGAGAGAATTCACCAGAGCCAGAGCGGGGAGCAGAGCAGGCAGAAGGACCGAAGTACACTGCTGAGGGGAGCAGCGGGCTGCAGAAGAGGTCTGCGCGCATGTGGGACCCTCCTCCGGTGGCCAGGGAGCAGCCGGGGATTGAACAGGTGCCGCAGAGGCTGCGGGCAGCTTCGCAACCCAGAGCTCAACCGCTGCACCACCGGGGAGGCCCCAAAATAAATAAATCTTTAAAAAAAAAAAAAAAAAAAAAGGCTGCCCTATGGGCCTCCCTGGTGGCGCAGGAGTTAAGTCTCAGCACTATGAAGCTGCGGGCAGCCATTGCAGCACAAGTTCAATCCCGGGCAAGGGAGCTGACCCATGTTGCAAAGTAGACCTCTCCTGTCTAGCCCGCTGCTCCCCTCAGCAGTGTATCTCAGTGGATCCGCCTGTTCTGCTCCCCACTCTCTCTGGTGAACCCTCTCTCCCCTCCCATACCTCTGGCCTACACCCCAGCTCTTGTGTGCATAAATAAATAAAATAAACCTTAATAAAAATGGTAGACCTAAACCCAACCTTATGAAAGTAGCCCCTGTCACAGCAAATCCCTCTTTCCCTGATGCGGCTGCCTCTGCCGAGGAACGCATGTGAACTTACTGGGAAAAGGGAGGCTTTTACTCAGACACATATTAAGTCAGAGTAAATAAGACCCCCTTCCCCTGTGTGCTGGACTGGACAGTCAATGACGGGTAAGATCGGGGGCAGACTAGAAATGGCACTGGCTAGCCGCATGTCTGTGACTCCTGACGACCTAAGACAGGCGCAGTCCCCGAGGGGCTTCATCATGAGTGTCTTTGGTGTTCAATTCAGGCAAATGCCTAAATGCCTGCAAGCCCAATCCAGGCACTAAAGCCCGCAGTAAAAACCCCTCCTTTGTTTAAGAACATGGCTGCTGCAGAGCGTCACCTAAAAACAAACCTGATGGACTTACCAACAGAACAGTTTAACTATTAACCAGTTGGTCATTGTTCCTGCATAAGAAGCAACCTAGCAACTACTCTATAATTATATTATTCTATTAACTCACTTACTTTCTCATAGCTATGTATTCTCCTTCTCGGAAATATATGCCAAAAAACATGATTTGTGTTAATATTAGCTCTTAGCTAACCATAATACTTCTCACATGAGACAATACCATAAATAATAAATTTCTTACATATATAAAAATTGATATGTGATTACCTGAAGTAAAATATAGATTAAATATTATCTTGTTACAAAATCTGCTAAGCTGAAACCTTGGAAACAAAACAAGAAAAACTAGCTTAAAGAATGCTGTTCTGTGTAATCATAAATAATTGTGTAGGTTTAGATTCCTGTAATCATTACCTTCAGATTGTTTTTTGTACTTTACTATGCAACACTGACCACGTCTACAATGATAGATAGCATGATGTCTTATGTATTAGTAATCATGTCACGCTGAGAAAAAATTAACATGTATGAAATCATCCATTGTTAAAAAATGTATAAAAATGTATAATGATTTTGAGCACATTACATTCAGATCTTCACTCTTGAAGTGTGTCTGTCTGTCATTTATGCGCCGAATCCTTGACCATCCTCACAGTTTCTCAATCCTGAGACAGTCCTGCGAGTCTAACGCTGCGCTGGTCCGCGGCACCCTGATGCCTGGCCCCTCCTGTCTAGGAAGGCCTCCCTCATTTCTCTCCTCCCTACCTCACTGGCTGAGCATCTTTTCAGTCTCCTCCCAGCACTGAGCCTCAGTTTAGAAATGGCCCCCAGACTAAGCGTTTGATCCTCCTCCTCTTTACACACACTGCTATACCCGGTATCAAAGTCCAGTTCTGCACAGACTTTTATCTCTAGCCCAGACCTGTCTCCTGAATGTCATATCTTTTGCATTTATTTCCAAGTAGCTGTCTGGACAACTGTCTACCTCTAATAGGGCATGCCCAATATCTAATTTATTTTCTCCCTGACCTACTAAGGCCCAAATAACCTGTTTCAAGAGAAGGACATGAATTCCCCACCAAAAACCTATAGTTACTATAAACCCCTCTCTTTCTCTCACACCCTCAAGTCTCTAAGTAAATGATCTTGTTGGTCAGACCTTGAAAATACATCCAGAATCCAACCACTACCCACCACCACCACTGCTACCCTCACTTCCCATCTAGATTACTGCTAAGGTCTGTGCAGTATCTATGCTGCTATGAGAGGCCTGAAGTCAGCAATGATCCTTTGGAAATAGAAAGGAGTGTCACCATCCATGAAAACCCAGCAAGTTTCTCCTCTTGTCACTAAGAGTAACAGACAAAGCTTCAAGTGACTTTATTTTTTTTATTTTTTTTTTTTTTATAGAGGCATGTTTTATTTATTTGTTTGTTTGTTTTGTTTATACATGCACTGGGTACAGTCAGAAGCCTGGGAGGGTGAGAGAATTCACCAGAGCCAGAGCGGGGAGCAGAGCAGGCAGAAGGACAGAAGTACACTGCTGAGGGGAGCAGCGGGCGGCAGGAGAGGTCTGTGCGCCATGCGGGACCCTCCTCCGGTGGCCCGGGAGCAGCCAGGGATCGAACAGGCGCTGCAGAGGCCACAGGCAGCTTCGCAACCCAGCGCTCAACCACTGCGCCACCGGGGAGGCCCTCAAGTAACTTTAAAAAGCCCTGCATGGGCCTCCCCGGGGTTTCCTGCTCTGCTCCCTGCTCTGGCTCTTGTGAATTCTCTCGCCCTCCCGCACTTCTGACTGTACCCAGTGCTTGTATAAATAAATAAATAAATCTTAAAAAAAAAAAAAAAAAAACCCCAAAAAAACCCCAAACAACAACAAAAAAAAGCCCCGCATGACATGCGCCCTGGTTTCCCTTTGGACCCCATCTGTATTACACTCCTCTCCATGAGTCACCAGCTACAGTGGCTCTCCCTCTCAACAAGTTTACCCTACTCTTCTCTCACTGACGGCACTTGTCACCAAGCCAAACTACAAACCACACAATTTACTTATGATGTATATTTTAAGTCTCTACCTTCTCTCCTAGGATGGACTTCCTACAAGGACAGGGATCTTTGTCTCTTGCCCACAGCAGCACCTCCCTAACTGACTGAGTGCTAAGTGCCAAAGACAAATAGATAAAACGCCTCCTTCCAGTAACAGGTGGCTCCTGAGGAGCAGAAGTCTTTCCACTGTAGGCCTCTGGCCACCTCCCTCCAGCCTCATGTGGTGCCGCTGTCCTTGTCTAGTACTTTTAGCCACACTGGCCTTGGTTCCTGAACTCAGCAAGCTTGCCCCATCCTTGGGCCTGAGTTCACATTGCCTAGAATGCTCTTTCTTCTCTGCCTCTTGTTATTCAGGTGTCTACTTCAATTTCATTTCTTCAGAGCAGTTTCCCTGCCATCCAATCTGATATATATACTCAGGTACTTTTCTTAACACATCACCCTACCTTAATTCTCCCTAGAGCCTTTATTATTACCTGGATCTTTGTCAATTTTTATTTTTAAAGATTTATTTAATTATGCATACAAGAACTGGGGTACAGGCTAGAGGTGTGAGGGTGAAAGGATTCACCAGTGACAGAGTGGGGAACAGAACAGGCAGATTGACTGAAATACACTGCTGAGGGGAGCAGCGGGTGAGTCAGAAGAGGTCTGCTGCAACATGTGGGTTGCTTCCCAGCTGGCGATCGAACTCATGCTGTAGTAGCTGCTGATAGCTTCATAGGTTGTGTCTTAACCCCTTGCGCCACCAGGGAGGCCCTTGTCTATTATTTTTAATGGCTGCCTTCACCCACCCTATCGAATTTATATACACACCACAAAGCAGGCATCACGAAATAGACTTCATTGTTCTAGAACCTGGAACAGGGCCCGAAACAGAACCAGTGCTCAATAAACCCTTGCTAAATGGATGGAGACAGGTGAACTGGGCCCTGTGGGTAGGCAGGATTCACTCTTTCTTCCAAAGGGCATCAAGCCATCCCTGGGGACCTTTAAGATGTCAACCCACAGGGAAGAGAAAGCGCCTCTGTTTGGAGTGGGAATAAGAAAGAGTCTTACCTCTGAATGGTCTCTTCCTGTTCCTTAACCATGTGTGCCAACTGCTGAAAGATGGAGCCCAGCTCGACAATTGTGGACTCAATGTTCTGCATGGTGTCTGCGCGGCTCTGGATGTAGGAATCCTTCAGAGCAGAGAGCACCGTGAGCTTTTTCAGGGTAGGGCCTGCCTCTTGGGACCCTCCCAGCCTGCCCATGGCACACTGCAAGCACCTGCCCGCGGACCACAGCAGAGCAACTCCTCCCTAGTTCCGGGCCTAGGTACCTGCTCATCAATGAGCTGCAGCTGCTGGCTGGTCCGAGAGTCCATCATGTCGATGGTCACGTCCCCAGAAGCACGAGACTCTGCCCCTAAAACCACAGTACCACCTCCTGGGGGAAGAAGACATGGCATAGCTCAATGATTAAAAGTAGGTTCCAAACCCACATGCTCTGATTTGAATCCCAGTTCTGGCACTTACTAGCCTTGTGACCCCGGACAAGTCATTTAACCTCTCTGAGTCTCAGTTTCCTCATCTGTAAAATGGGGACAGTAATAGTTGCTTCCTCAAAGTGGTGGTGAAAATTAAATGAGTGGGAATCAAGTCAGTGAGTGCACCAAAAGTATTAGAAACCATCATTCTTCTGAACCTGACGGATTCACACCCAACAGTGAGAATGTGGGTGACTAGGTGCAGCTCATGAATCCTAACAACCAGCTTTGACCTCGGAAAGATAAAGTCTAACAATTTCCTTGCCCCTCTGGGACCCCACCTTTAGGGGGCGCTGTCACCACCAGAAAAGCTAAGCTGTACCCTTCAGGGCTCCCGGTATTGCCCGTGACTTACCCAGGTGGTTGGGAGCAAGGGGCAGGGCTGCCACGGGCGCCCGAGAGAACTGCTCCCGCCGGTTCCTCTGCTGCTTCAGGTTCTGTGTTTGGGGAAGACATGTAGAGGTCCTGAGGCTTCTGGAAGGGGCGCATGTTCAGAAATCCCTCCTGTCCGCCCATCCCCTTCTCCCTTGTCCTTCCACTTGTCCCTTGCCCTTTTCCCTCTTCGGGTCCTCACCCCCAGATTCCTATCCCTCCCAAATAGACTCTTCTCACCTCTGTCCTCACTTCTAAAACTGATTTGAAATCATTGGACATGGAGGCCAGTTTTGACTAGAAGAAAAGGAGAGAGCGTCAGACAAAGACGACAGTATCGTCTTCCCTCTGCCTCCCCTACCTCCCAGCGCCCACCTGCAGTGAGACCACGATGGTGTTGGAGTGGGTTTGCAGGTGTCGGCCGCTCTGGCTGCCCTTGGCTCTCACGAAATCCTGCAGTTGGGCGATCTGTTTGTTGAGGCTATTGATGTCCTGGTGAAAGAGTCAACAGAAGTGAGTGTCGGCCGAGGAGTCCTCACCCAGCACCTTTTCCACATGCACATCTCAGTCAAGGTGAAAGTTACTAGCAGGAGTGAGGTGCCTTGACAGTCAAACCCAAGGGCCTGCTGGAACTGCCTGAATCCTGGAGTTTGGACTAGCTCAGTCTCTGCAGAATGGTCTCATCCATTTATAGATGACCCACTCACCCCTCCACCTTACTGTCCCAGTCTACCCTGCAAGGTCATACTCATGGTCACATATCTTAAAAGGTCGGCCTCTTGGGGCCAGGGAGTGCTGACAACAAAGCATGTGTGCGGCACTCGGGAGAAGGGAAGAATCAAGAGCTGATCATGAGATGATCATAGTTTCCCAAGATCATAAGATTATCTCCATATATATAGAATTCCTTTTAGAAAAGTTATTGCAAGAACGAAAGCTAACAGTTGTTCAGGGTCATGCATAATGAGTTTATAGCAAAGCCAGGCTTGACCCTCCCGACTAATGCATCATCTGCCTAGCAGAGCTGGCTGCCAAGGGTCAAGTGAGCCATGGAGGAGGCAGAGAGAGCTTGCTCACGGCAGCCACAGGAAGGGACCAGGAGGAAGAGGCACGGGTCCAAAATTGCATTCCAGGTTTTTTCCCCTGTAAGTCTCCCCCTGAGGGTTCTAGTTTAGAAAGCGGTATCCCCGGCCCTCCCTGGCGGCGCAGGCAGTTGAGCATCACACTGTGAAGCTGTCCGCAGCTTCTGCAGCGTGGGTTCAATCCCGGCTAGCCAGCGAGAATCCCACATGGCAAAGCAGACCTCTCCTGTGTCGCCCACTGCTCCCCTCAGCAGTGTACTTCTTCAGTCTGTTCCCCACTTTGTCTCCAGTGAATCCTCTCACCCTCCCGCGCATCTGGCCTGTACCCCGGTTCTTGTGTAAAAATAAATAAATCTTTGGGCCTCCCCGGTGGCGCAGCGGTTGAGCGCTGGGTTGCGAAGCTGCCCGCAGCCTCTACAGCGTCGGTTCGATCCCCGGCTGCTCCCCGGCCACCGGAGGAGGGTCCCACATGGCGCGCAGACCTCTCCTGCCGCCCACTGCTCCCCTCAGCAGTGTACTTCGGTCCTTCTGCCTGCTCTGCTCCCCACTCTGGCTCTGGTGAATTCTCTCACCCTCCCGCGCTTCTGACTGTACCCAGTGCATGTATAAATAAATAAAAATAAATCTTTAAAAAAAAAAAAATAAATAAATAAATAAATCTTTAAAAAAAAGAAAAAAAAAAAAAGAAAGTGGTATCCTCTCTCACATCAGCACCGAAATCAAAAGCTTCTAAGTCACAAACCCACACCTTCTTACCCCAGCTATGAGCCACAACCCAACCGCACACTCACTCGGCACTGGGTCTTGGGCAAGCATTAACAGCAGACTCAGGTTTGTTTGCTGTGTCACACTAATAAGCAGCTTTCACTCTCGTGCCCTTAAACTTAACACAGAAAACAACTCTTCCATTTTCCCCCCAAAGCTAGTTTCCTCGTTTCTACTTTTCCATTTTGGTAAATGGCACCACCATCCACCAGCTGCTCAGACCAAACACTTAAGAATTCTTCTCCTTTTCCTTTAATCCATACAGAACTGACCAGGAGCCCATTAAGAACCTGGCTGATTGCAAGACAAAGTCAGAATCTGTCCACTCAGCCCTTCTCTAGTCCCAACCATTGTCCTATTTGTCTAAGAAATCTCTAAGAGCCTAAGTAAACTTCCTCTTATAGCTTATTCTTATTCAACCAACACCAGGACACATCACCCCCCTGCTTACACTCTCCCAAGAACTCCCCACCAAGTTTAGAACACACTGAAATTCCCTACCTGGCTTGCACGTGCTCTATCTGGTCAGGCACTGGCCATCTCTCTGACCCCATCCCTTACTGGTCTCCCCTTCATAGGTCTCCCCTATGCTGCAGGCACACCAGTTTCTTTGGAGCTCATTAAATGCATCAAGGCTGCCCACACTTCAGGGCCTTTCCCTTCACTACGCCCACTTTCTAGATCACAGTCCCACTTTCGGAAATGTGCTTCAGCCAGATCTTTGGATGACTGGCTTCTCTTCACCAGTCAGGTCATCCTAGATCACCCAATCTAGGCTCCTACTCTGAGTAAAACTCACCCACCTTGCTTATTTCCTTGGCAGGATTAACTATTATCTGATGCCTTTTCTGTTTACCTATATAGTGTCCACCTAACCAGAAAGAAGGTTCCTAAAGGCAGGGACCACATTTATCTCATTACTGCTGAATCCCCAGAACCAAGTGAAGGTCACTCAATAATGTGATTAAAGGGCCTCCCCGGTGGCGCAGTGATTGAGCGCTGGATTGTGAAGAGGCCCGCGGCCTCTGCGGCGCCGGTTCAATCCCCGGCTGCTCCCCAGCCATCGGAGGAGGGTGCCACATGGCGCGCAGACCTCTCCTGCCGCCCGCTGCTCCCCTCAGCAGTGTACTTCGGTCCTTCTGCCTGCTCTGCTCCCCGCTATGGCTCTGGCGAATTCTCTCACCCTCCCGCGCTTCTGACTGTACCCAGTGCTTGTATAAACTAAAACAAACAAACAAACAAATAAATAAATAAATGAATAAAACATGCCTCTATTAAAAAAAAATAATGTGATTAAAAATAAATAAAGGAATCTGCACAATAATCCTATGAGATAGATACTATTATTCCCTTCTCATTTATGAGAACGAAAGCTCAGAGTAGACAAGTCAAAGTGAAGTGCTAGACCTGAACTTTGAATTCCAGTCTGTCTGAATCCAAAGGTTCTTAATGCCTGTACAATAAGTAACACCCCAACAGTTAACTGAACCCCCTCTTTTCGACCCAGCACAGCACCTCTTGACTGGCTCTGCCCTTCGGCCTCTGCCATAATCATTTCTGTACAGGACAGTCATACAGCAGTCTCCTCCCCCAGCCTCTCTGACCATCCATGCTCCAGATTTTTTTCTCCCATAGTTGTTCAAATCACATTTTATTCTGACGACATTGTGCTGTGAAAGAGAAGAATCACAGCATTGTAGTAGTGCTGTGGCATAACTGTTTTCTACACAGAACTAGAATCCAGATTTTAATCATCTTTGTCACCCACAGCATTCAATGATTCCACACTCCTAGGCCAAATGGATTCTAATCTTCACAACCCATCTACCTTCCCAACTTCATCTCCTGCCAATCAATTATTCAAATAATAAACATTGAGAGTCCACTGTGTGTCAAACACTGTTATGGGCACTGGGGACACATCTGTGAATAAGCAGAGAGAAAAACTGCTGTTCTTATGGCTTGCATTGTTTCATTGTGTTCCTTTTTCTTATGAGGGGAAAAAGACAAGTGAAAGCAAACAGAAACAACAAAAACTGCAAGAAGTAAACTAATTATAGTGAATGATAAGATTATCAAGTGCGGGCCTCCCCGGTGGCGCAGCGGTTGAGCGCTGGGTTGCGAAGCTGCCCGCGGCCTCTTCGGTGCCGGTTCGATCCCCAGCTGCTCCCCGGCCACCTGAGGAGGGTCCCACATGGCGCGCAGACCTCTCCTGCCGCCCGCTGCTCCCCTCAGTGGTGTACTTCAGTCCTTCTGCCTGCTCTGCTCCCCGCTCTGGCTCTGGTGAATTCTCTCACCCTCCCGCGCTTCTGACTGTACCCAGTGCATGCATAAACAAAACAAACAAACAAATAAAATAAATAAAACATGCCTCTATAAAAAAAAAAAATAAGTAAAAGATTATCAAGTACTATTAAAAAAAAAAGTAGAGAGCCTCCCTGGAGGCGCAAGGGGTTAAGATGCAAACTATGAAGCAATTGGCAGCCTCTGCAGCACGAGTTCGATTCCTGGCCGGCCAGGGAGCAACCCACATGTCAAAGCAGAACTCTCCTGTCTCGCCCACTGCTCCCCTCAGCAGTGTATTTCAGTCAATTGGCCTGTTCTGATCCCAGCCCTGGCTGGTGAATCCTCTCACCGCCCCCATACCTCTGGCCTGTACCCAGTTCTTGTATGCATAAATAAATAAATCTTAAAAATAAATAAATAAATAAAGTTTAAAAAAAAATAGAGCTGTTACCTTAAGGGAGATGAGATTCTGGGGCCCTGAAGAATCAAACAGGGGGCCTCCCTGGTGGCGCAGGGGTTAAAGACACAGCGCTATCGAGCTATCTCTAGCCACTGCAGCATGAGTTCGATCCCCCGACAGGGAGTGAACCCACATGGCACAGCAGACCTTTCCTGTCTCGCCCACTGCTTCCCCTCAGCAGTGTATTTCAGTAGATCCGCCTGTTCTGCTCCCTACTCTGTCACTGGTGGATCCTTTCACCTCCCCGTATCTCTTGTATGCATAAACGAAATAAATCTTAAAAAAAAACACATCAAACAACACACCAGGGTGAACCTCTTGAACATTTAAGCAAAACTTTAACTTTCCCTTTTACAGGCCATGCCTCTGAGCACACCACTTTCTCTGTCTGGAATGTTCTTCCACTGTTTCTAGACAAGCCTTGAAAACAGCTCAGATTTTACCCCCTCTATAGTATCTTTCCCCATGTCCCCTGATAATCTCAGGCATCTTTTGGTAAGATATAATTTCTGTACCACTTGCCTCCTGACTCGATGACATTTGGTACTGGCTCTACACACATGCTGTGGGCCTCCATGGCAACAAAGTAATAGAAGTGACCTTACTAGACTGCCAGGCTCTTCCCATAGATAGCAGCTCACCTGTTTGATGATATAAGTTAACTCCTCGATTTCCACTGCTTTATCATCAAAGAGGGACTTGCGTTTTGCCACTGTAGAGACAAAGAAGAAGCCAGGACAGGTGAGGTCAAAGTCAAGACGTAGGCAATATGGTTCCTCAGACCTCTCTGGAAGTGCCCCAAGGACACTCACAGATTGTCAGCTTCTCCAGCTTGGCAAATGTGTTGCTGAGGTCTTTCCCAATGCGCCTGTAAATGAGCATAAGAAGAACAGTAAGGGAAAGGGCAGGAGATGGCCTGTTCCCACACCAGCTCTGGCGCTATGGACCCTCGTCCTCATAGCTCAGGCCACCACGGGAAAGCCCACTTCTCAGACACCAGACCAGCTCCGCCCCACCCCCCAACTCTTCTCAACTCACTTGGCCATGAGAGTGAATTCACTGCGCTGCCTGACAGCACGCAGAGCCGGCTTGTTTGTCTGAATTCCATTCTGAAAAGCAACATCAAGAAGTGAAACTTCAGTTCCTTCTCCAGATTTCAGCTTCACCGTCACTCAGATGTCCACTAAACACTAGGACTGCGGCGTCCTCCGCCAGACAGTTGCTAACGAAAGCTGAGCAGTTAAAACGTTTAAAAATATAACTACCAGAAAGGAATGATGGGAAGTGGGCAGCAAAGAGGGGAGGGGACCAGGAATCTAATTTTTAAAAAAGCACTCCAAAGTGGTTTTGATAAAAATCTTACTTAGAACATTTAAGGATGCTAAAAACTGGGCCCACCTAGATTAATTTCCTCACGGTCACAGAAGAAATCTGTGCTAGAAATATGCCAGGAGAATTTAAAGAGCATGTCTTAGCTTTAGGCTCTTTCTGGAACCTGTTCCTTATACCAGACCCAACACGGTGCAGTCACCGTTACCCTGAGGTATTCCTTCCAGAATAGCCAAGCCACCCTTGGACATTCCTCATACAAATCTAGATTGAACCTTGCTAGCAAAGCTCCCAATTCTCCCTGCCCCCTCCAAATCAGTGGGGCTCTCCCCTCGGTACCCCCAAGAATTAATCCAACAACAGAGCTTGAGCACGGCCTTCCCCAAAACCGAGCAAGGCTGGCTCCGGGTCCTTACCTGGCGGCTCTGCAGGGACTTGCAGGCAGACAGGAACTCCTGGGTCCGGTCCCGGCAGGACATGGTGTCGGGAGGGGGAGGGACCAGGGCCACTGGGGGGGGCTGAGGGGCGATGTCGCTGCTGGTACTGCCAGCAGTTGCAGGGGACAGGACCTGAGTCTTTGAGAGACCCAGGTAGACACCCTGATCCGTGTTCTTAGACCCGTAGCGTTTCCGCGGGATCATTGAGACGCATAACCTCGGACTGTTGTGGAGGGGAGAGTGTCATTCCCCAGGCAGCCTCCGTCCCCACAAATTCCACACGCACACACACCCCCCCCAGCAAATCCTCGGGCCCCAACTGCACTGGACACGGACTTTAGCGCCCAAAGCCACCCGCAAATCCTGGGACCGGCCCGCGGCGGGAAGGGCCCCGCAGTCCCTGGGCCCCGTCCGTCCCCTTCTTCACTCTTCCTCCAACTTGGCTCTGGCGGCCGGAGCGCGGGCCGGGCAAGGCCGGAGCCAGGTTCCGCGGCCTTGACAATCCTGGCCGGCCTGTGCAACCGCCCCAGGCACTAACTGGACCAGCTCGTCCCCACCGGCTCCTTCGGCTCCTCAGAGAAAAACGGCGACGACCCCCGAGGTGAGCACACGTCGGTGGGCGGAGGGGGAAGTCTAGGTGTTTATTTGAAACAGGAAGTCCCACCCCCGCCCAAGTCCCGCCCTCCAGAAGACCACAAGCGCTGATTAGCTAATGCCGACGTCTTTTTCCACACGAACTTTTTTGATTGGACGGCGAGGTATTCGCTCAGCCCGAACCGGGCCGGCAGGACTAGCCCGCCCGTCCCGGGTTCCCTTCCCCCCGTCCATCGCCTCTCCCACGGAGTCGCCGCCCGGAGCGCCCACGGTGACCACGCCCCTTCAGAACGAATCCTACCTCCTCTCTACCACCTGCCGCCGCCGCCACAATCTCCCAGGTGGTCACCGCCTCCTCCCCGGGCGCCCAAGCCGCCGAAACCCGACCAGAGATTAGAAGCAGCCACGTCACCCACGCGTAGCCCCACCCCCAGTGACGGGGCAGCGCCACGCCTTTTCGAGCCCGGCCACCCGAGGGGCACGCCCCTCGCTCAAACGCAAGACCGGCGCCGCCCTCCTATTGGCTAGGCCGCCCCAGAGACCCCGCCCCGAGGAACCAGAGCCGAAGCCCGGGTCTGGCCGGCCTCGGGGCAGGAGCCTTAAAGAGCCCGCCGCCCGCGGCACCCGCCTCCTGGGACGGCAGCGGAGATTCCAGATGGGGCAGGTACAGATTAGAAACTTTATTCTCTGGAGGTTGGGGCGGGCTGAGGTCAGGGCTGGGGTCACTCCTTCTCTGGCTCCTCCGTGATCTCCTCCGGCTTGTTCTCCAGGATCACACTCGGCCGCCTTTGACTCTGGCTCGATGGCCTGCTGGACCGCGTGGAGCCCCGACGGCTGAACATGGAGAGCCGCCGCCACAGCACGGTGATCAGGATGCTGTCGTTCGACTTGGGTTTCTGCTGCTCTCCCTCGTCCGTGGCTGAGGGGAACACCCGACCGCTGAGTGCCCCGCCCCCGCCCTGCGGGGCCGCCCTCCCCCCCTCAGCCTGGGGGCCCCCTCGTGCGTCTCCTCCCACCTTCCTCGTCTTCGGAGTCGCCCTCCTTGGCCTGCTCATCGGAGGTCTGAGAATCCTTGTCTTGGCAGCAGCCCATGGCCCCGCGCGACCCCACACTCCTCGACCCCTGGAGCGGGCCTGCCCCACCCTCGACCCGGCTTCTGTGACGCCCTCGGCCGGCTTTTGTGACGCCAGCCGCCCTGACTCCCATTCTCCTCTCGGGAGGCTGCGGATCCAGTGAGTGGTGAGCTGTTTATTTACAAAGTGAATACAGGCTCTTCAGGGGCTGGTGGACCCAGGGCGCTTCTTTTTTCTCCGTCTAGTCTGAAGAGCCTCTTGATTCGGCTCCAAGCCAGGGGCCTTCCTTTTGGCAGCTGCCTCCAAGGAGGCCCAAAGCTCATCTGTTTCTGTGTCTTCTGGGGGCAACTTGCTGGGCTCTTGAGGCTCTTGGGGCTCATCCTGGTAAGGGGGAGAGAAGCATGGGAGTTGGGCACAGCAGCCAGGCAGGGAAGGATGCTCTGGATGGGAAATAATCCCTTCGAGCACTACACCCTATTTCATTCTGTTTCCACAGCCCATTCCCAGCCTGCTCCCAGGCTACCCTTGGCAATAACTCTGGCACAATTATACGTAGTAACACCCCTGTGAGGAATGGAGTAACTGGGCAGGTAAACGACAGCTCCAGGTCTGTTCTAGTGGCCTCCTTTTTTTTCTTTATGATTTATGTTATTTATTTATGCATATAAGAGCTGGGGTGCAGGCCAGAGGTGCAGGGGCTGAGAGGATTCACCAGACAGAGTGGGGAGCTGAACAGCCAGATCTACTGAAATCCACTGCTGAGGGGAGCAGCGGGTGAGTCAGGAGGTCTGCTGCACCATATGGGTAGCTCTCTGGCTAGGGATCGAACTCGTGCTGCAATGGCTTCGGATAGCTTCATAGTGCTGAGACTCAACCCCTTGCACCACCAGGGAGGCCCCCTTTTTCTTTTCATAGGGAAACCCTCACATGTATGCCCTTGGCTCCCACATCCCCAGACTCAGCTACAGGTCCTCAAATAACATCATTTCCCTTCAACCTTTTTCTTATAGCAATGAGGAAAAAGCAATTCTGATCCAAACTAAAAAAAGTTACTGGAGAACATTCTTCTGTTATACATTCTTTGATCAAAGTGTCCAAGAACCTATTGTTGACACTAAGTGATCACTGGCTGTACTTACCTCCCAGTTCTCCCTGCCTGACAGGAGGAGGCAGTTCAGTTGAGACTTGAGATAAACCTGCAAAAGATAAGGGGTCTTCAGGACTCGAGCACACGCTGACACAGAAAATGAACAGAGGCGCAGGAGGTAGTGGGAATCTCACCTTGTGCTCTAAGCCTCGTGGAGTCTGGATCCTGTGTACCCTCAAGACCCTGTCCAAGCCACAGGAGGCCAGCAGGGGCTTGGAAGGGTGGCACTGCAACCCTCGGACACTGCCTGCCAACCCCTTCAGACAGCCCAGCAGGCGCCCTGAGAAGTGAGGAGGGATGGCGAGAACGGTCAACAATCATTTACTGAGTGTTTACCGCTTAAATGACTTTTACATCTCAGTATTTAATCCTGACATAACCCCAACAGGAATTGCCTTTTATATCTTCAATTTACAGATGAAGGAACTAAGGAACAGAAAATTGAAATGATCTGTGCAAGGTTATATTGCTTGAGGTGAACCAAGATTTGAACCCTGGTGATCTGACACCTGAGTGAGGCACAATTGCTCCCCTGCACAGCCTCTGAAGAAACCCCTCCCCTCCCCTCGCCTCCCTGCTCCACTTACCTTGCCGAAGGTCAATTTCTGCCAGCTGCCCATGAGTGTTCCCCACGATCACAGAACTGAGGAGACCAGAGGCAGGAGGGGTCAGCAGGAGGAGCCTCCTGGGTGCTTCCCAAGCCCTACTCTGCCCCCTAAACACTCACTTGCCCCCAGGAGTGAGAGTCATGGCCGTCAGGGGATATTCTCCATAGGTGGCCTCTAGAACTGGCCGGCGCTGAGGGGAGGCTGGATCGTAGACACGGACCTGGAGGGAGACTGAGGCATCGCAAGACTGTCCTCACCCCACAGGCCCCTGGGGCTTCTCTATCTTCACCGCCTCCTCCATCTACTGCTTTCTGGATTAGGGCCCATGCTTAGAGGCACTTTCTTATTTGAAAGTACCCTTCTTCTGAGTGGTGGGGCTGGGGGTGGAGAACTGCAGAGGAGCATGAATGGAGAGGGCTGAAGGAAGAGCCCCCCAGGTTAGGGGAGGGAGCATTAAAACAGTCTGCACGTGTAAGCATCTTATCCGTTGCCTCCTCCCTTCTCAAGATGAAAAAGCAAGTCAGCCCAATTGCCAGAGGGGGCGAATTCCAAACAATTTCAGGAGGGAGAGAAATGGCCAAGATCAGACTTAACATGCATGAGTAAAGGAAATAGCGGGACTAGCAACCCAGTGCCGACCGTGTCTTAGGACTTCAAATGCGAGCAGCTGTAAAGATCTCCAGGTGGGCCCTTCCTGAAAAGCTGGGAGCCAAGGCCAGAGAAGAGAGTGTGAGGCCTGGGTCCCAAAGCGAATCAGAAGCCGTGTCAAGCCCAGAACCCAGTTCCTTTGACACCTGGTCCAGTGTTTCTTCCACCCTATACCCTGTGATTCCACTGGGTCGGGGGACATTCCCTTCTCTCTCTGAGGTGGAAAGAAAAGGAAGACATAATTCAAGAGACTCCAGCTTACAGTGTGTAGCTGGTGGGGCTCAGCCAGGGCACTGAAGATGGGGGAAGAGCTCCCTTCGCCAAGGGCCTGGGATACAGGACTAGTGGGAAGGGGACTGGGAGACTCTTTCTCTAGGAACTGCTAAAGACCAGGAGGAGGTAAGGGTAGGATGGGTGTCTCACCTGGTGGTACCCTGTGCAGGTGACAAGCTTCTGTGATTCAGGGAGGAACTGTATGTCCTGGTCCCAGATGGGAACACGCAGGTCGAGCCAGTCATTCCGAACCTAGCAGGATGGGTAGATGGGGCACAGGGTTGGAGGGGAGTGGGGAGGGCTCAGTGTGCTGTGCCCTTCTTTCAGCCCTCCCTCATCATCTCTTAAAAACCACGTGGTCTCTGATCCATAGCCAGTGGCCTGAGCCTCATTGATCCTTGGATCCAGCCCCTTCCCACCTGTCACTTACATTCTTGGCCCTGAACACAGGCTCCTCAGATCCCTGCAGGTCCCACACCTTCAACGCATTCTCCTTGCCACCTGTGGCAACCACATGGGGGCGTGCTGGGTCTTGGCGCATCCTACACACCCCAGGACCCACACTCAGTTCCAGGAGCTTAAAGAATGGGAGATAAGAGTGGGGGTGAGTCAGTTTGAGCCCTCAATCCTCCTCCCCAAAGCCCTCATTTGGCTCCTACCCAGGCCTGCCTCCCCTTCCCCAAGCATCAGGATCGGGGCAGGGGAGCCTCACCGGGTCAGAGGATGCTTGTTTGTCAGTGTCGGGCCAGACTCGGAGAATCCCAGAATCCACACATGTGATGAGGGTGCTGTAGGCAAAGGGAGGACAGATTTAGGTAAAAAAGACAAAACCAAAGTGTGTAATGTCCAATTCACCCTGAATTCATATTAAAAGAGCTTCCTTCCCACCAGCCCATTCCTAGGGTAACCTGGGCTGGATAGGGCTGAGCAGCCTCCAGCTTCCCTGTCAATTCATAAAATTTCCTCAACACAGTGAGAGGCTGCCAGTTTTATAACAGAAAACCGAGGCTCTAAGAAGTTAAAAGACTTGCATCCTCAGCTATAAATGGCAGAACCCGAGCTGGAAAACAAGTTGTGACCCTCTGAAGCACAGTGCCTTCTGGGGGCACCTACTGGTCTTTATGAATCTTAGGTTGGTCAGCAGGGGTCAGAATCAGTGTCTCTGAAAGGAATGAAATAGGACTGGTCTGGATTGGGCTTTGGCCAAAGTCAAACACCAGTTTTTTTCCTGGAGCTCCCCATTCTAGGTGCTGGCTCTTACATGTCAAATGAGAGTCCTCAGTGTCTGTCCCAAGAAGCCCAAGCAAGGCCCTCCTAGGCTCTGTGCAGCCCTGGCCTGTGCTCCTCCTCACGTCTGTCCACCCTCCCACCTTATTTCAGACTCTATCGCTTGCCTGGGCTATGGCAACTGGCTTCCACTGTTCTCTCCAATCCATCCTCCCCACTCCTACAGGCTCACAGCTCTGACTACAGCATTGTTGGAGAGTAACTCCCTACCACTAACAAAACAAAAGGGCACATCTCTCAGCTTTACATTTAATCACAACCTATCTTGCCCGTCTTGTATTGGCTGCGATGTCCAAATGCCATTTATTTTCCTTGAACAATACCCTATAGTCTGACACCAGTTCTTGGCATTGGCCCATGTGTTAGCCTCTTTTTAGAATGTCTTACCCCTTTCTCCACCTATGGCAATTCTTCCTATCCTTCAAGGGCTTTCCTCAGTAGCCTTCTAGACCTAACCTGTCAGAATTAACACCACCAGACATACAGACCTATTTACAGCCTCTCTCTTCATCCCTGAGGCAAAGCTGGGTTAATAAAGTCCCACTAGCACTTTCCTATCCTTTCCTTTGCTGGCTTCATCACCATGTTGGTGGCTTTCAGTCCATTAAAAACATACTCCGGGCCTCCCCTGGTGGTGCAGCGGTTGAACGCTGGGCTGTGAAGCTGCCTGCAGCCTCTGCAGCGAGGGTTAGATCCCCGGCTGCCAGCGAGGGTCCCACATAGGGCGCAGACCTCTCCTGTCTAGCCCGCTGCTCCCCTCAGCAGTGTATTTCGTCAGTCTGCCTGTTTTGTTCCCTGCTCTGGCTCTGGTGAATTCTCTCACCCTCCCGCGCTTCTAACTGTACCCAGTGCTTGTATAAATAAATAAATCTTTAAAAAAAAAAAAAAACAAAAAAAACCCCAACATACTCGAGCTATTAAATAATCCAAAATCACCCAAAAGGTTACAGAGACAGGAGGAAAACCCACTGATGGCAGGTACTGTGTAGGTACAGGTTTACCTGCGGCCCCTTGCAATTTGTGCAAAGCAGGTAACTCGGTGGTGCTCAATAAAAGCTTGTTATAACGCTTGTTATAAGCATACAGCAGGGCCCGGGGTGGGCTCTGTCACCCAGCCCTGTTGGGCCCGTGTCACCTGAGGGTTGACCATTATTGCCCGTCCTGAGGGCCGCTCAACGCTCTCCCTA